GCAAAATGAAATCTTTGCCTTGTATGGTCTCTGGTCAATAATGGGTAAATTGGTGCCCTTCCAGGGTGTAGGTCGTTTTCGGTAAGTCTTCGTCTAATCGTATTTTCGCTGATTCTAAAGTTATAACGATCCAAAAATTCATTTTGTAGAGAAGTACTGGTATCAAACCTTTATCTCAGTCTACGAAGTGTCAAAAACCGGTCTTGATTATGAGTTATAACCCTTCTACGGCCTTGACCGGTTCTTCTCGAGTTACTTCCAGTAACAGAGAAATGTGTTAACACTCTTGAAATTTTTGAGTGGGTGACGTTAAAACGTTTAGCGAGTTCTACTTGAGTCTAGAACTTTTTCGCGAAGAGTAACGATTCTAAAACAGTCACTTTTTGATAAATTTCGATTTTCTTGCTGCTGGTGGTTAATTTTAAAGAAAAAACACTTTATAAACTTAAAAAGCCCTTTTAAACGTTCAGCACAATGTAATCCAATCCAACTAAATGAAGCAGAATTAGCAGGTTTTCAATTTTTTTTGCAAAAAATGGTAAAAACATCAGCGTTTTTTACCGTTCTTAGGATACATTTTACAATATACCGGGGAAACAATAATATATTAGCACAAAAATCGAAACATTAAAATTATTTGATTTACCAAGGTTTTTAAAATTATGCGTTAATTTTGGGGTGCAGTGTAAATACCTATGGTTTTGTTGGTATTCTTCTAGTTCAGGTGAGATCCATTAAAACTTCTTTCTGGCAATTATAATTTTATTATTCTTATTATTTATCATTAAAACTTCTTTCTAAAAATTCTTATTATTTATCATTAAAACTACAGCACTTGAAATTCAGTTGTTTAATCATACACCTTTGAATGATGATTTATTTACAATAAGCAAAGTATAATGAACTAAATCTGAAATTAGTTTGTTCAATTTGTTACATTACATTATAGTACATTAATTTTGTTTTCAGATGCTGCCTGGAAAAACTCCAAGACCAGTGTTGCCATAGAGAAGGAAATTGAAACTTGATAATGAAATATCTGAGATGTAAAGAGGAGGCAAATAAAATTTAATTTGCATGTTGCATTAGCAAATATGATTAATTTTGTAATGATTAAATTGTGTGGTTGGTGCACAGAAAGGAACAGTCAATTTTTGAGACTGTTTTATTTATTAAAAATAGGTACCTAAAAATTTATCTACTGCTGAAATAAAACACAGTTCCATATTAAGTATTGATCTTTTTCATACTTATGATTTCAACTTTAAAACTCAACAATTTACTTGTCTGCTTTTAATTGCCGACCACACACTTGTAAGGTAAATCAGAATGGGAATGGATAAGGGAAGTTGAATGGTTCTGTTTTTAGTGAGCCACAGTTTCAATGATTTTGCCAATTTCTTCAGCACTATTCACAATCCTTCTTTCTCCTGTGTAGACAAGTGTAGTCAAAGATCCCATATCAGTCACAGCCATATTTACTCTTTAACTATTAAAATTTGTGACATTCTAGCATGCTTACAGTGTCTTAATACCAATAAAGGTCTTGGTCCAGATGTAATATCGTAACTTATTTTTAAGGAATTGTGCATTCTTTTTATGTAGGCCTCTATGGCTTATTTTTTATAAATCTCTGAGGGTCACTTTTCATCACAATTTATTTATTGATTTTATCCATTGATTCATCCATTAACTCATTGATTCCTAATTATCATTCCATTATAATTCTTTCTACTATTCCTAAAATTTTCGAGGCTTTACTCACTGATTTTTTGACAATAAATCTGAATAATCAGCTTCATACTGGTTAGCATTGTTTACTTACTGTCTAGTTTTTCAACTTTTACTAATTTACACTTATGTTATAATTGCATTAAAAAACATTTTTTATGTCGATTAGATTTATACTGACTTGTCACATCTACTGTTCTTGCAAATTGTGTAGATCATATTCTTATTCGGGTATGATCAATTTCTTGAATCTGGATTCTCTTATCAAAAATGTTACCTTTTAATCTTTATTTTTAAACTTGTTCATAAAATATCCAATCTCCTGAATTGCTTCAGCTAGTTTGTTTTAATATTCCTCCCATTTACTGTGTCAGAATTTATATTTCCATGTTCCTTACCGCAGAACTAATTATGATTCATACATAGATATGGTCTGAAACTTTTGTATCAATAGGTTTAGGTACTATTTGAAGCACTAAAATGCTAAATGACACTTTTTATAAATGTGTACCTATTTATTCATGTATATTTTATTTTTATCTGTAATTTTGTGTATATTTCTATAATGTTCCATTTTTGTATAATTTTGACAGTGAATTTGTTCCATTTGTTATGAATAAATAAATATATGTAATAATAAATGTTAGTTCCTTTAAACATTTATGTTTTATTACTAAAAATTATTTTATATTTCTATAATGTTGCATTTTGTATAATTTGGACAGTGGATTTGTCCCATTTGTTAATAATAAATAAATGTAACAATAAATATAAATTCCTTTAAACATTTACGTTTTATTTCCCAAAATACATTCTTAATATGCACAGGATGACACCACTTTTAGTATTTTATACAATGGCGTTGACGTCTAATTTATGTCCTCAGCACTAAAATAGACGTCCGAGAACATCACAAAAGTCCGTCAAGTAAGTCCTCCGGACGTATTATGGACGTCCGATTAAGGTCCAATTAACGTCCCGGTACGTCCATTTTACGTCCGCTCGGGACGTAAAATGGACGTCCATAGGACGTTCGGCGCAGCGACATTCGGACCAATATAGGACGTAAAACGGACGTAAATAGGACCAAAACGGACGTCCGAGGGACGTCCTTAAAGTCCGTGAGGGACGTACTATGGACGTCCACTAGACGTACGTGTGCTATTAGGGAAATTTTATAAGCTCTATTTCTTGCCTTTTCTTTTTTCAATTAAAGTTTCTTTCTAAACAAGTAATTGTTTTATTTCACTATATCAATTCAACAGGCCAGATAAAAGCAACTTTGAAAGTTCATTTTAGTTTCTCTACTGAGCTGTCGAAGGCTAGCGGACTAATTGGACTTACAGCAAAAACAAAGCCGCTGAAAGAGACACTGTTGCATACAAGCCTCTGCATGGAAGGGATGTTGTAAACCGGCACCCTCCATTAATGATCCGAAATCGGAGACATCCATCCGCCTGTGTGAATTCTTAAAAATACACGTTTCGGGGTTTCGGCAAGGCGATCCCAAGCTTGACGATTTACATGTAAAAATCAACGGAATATTAGTTGATAAGTAAGATACATTTCTCTCCATACGCATTTAATTGCCAAGTACGGCAAAGTTAAATTGATCGGATTGGTCGCAAACTGTACCTTGCGAGCGAGGGATGAATTTATGTTATTTTGGGATGAATAAGTACTTAAGAAACTTAAGTAGTGAAGTGATATTGAGTGCACCACTGGCTTTTCTTTCTGGGATTTATTTTGATTTTCTAAATTAATACTGTGATACGTTACCACTGCCGCAAATAGTTGAAGGTTAAAGGGTTTTTTAATATATTAGATGTTTTTTTTTTAATGAAAGTGTAAACAAATTCAGGTAAATTAACCTAAAAAATGCAAGTTATGGGAGCAACTGTAAGTATTGATAAATCTTGTATTGTAAATTATATTTTGTAAAATTCATCTATTTCATACGAAGAACAAATTGTTATTAAAAATAAGGGGCGTCCTTTGCCTAAAATGTCCCGGCTTATAAACATTAGTGCGGGGGGTAAGGGAAGTAATAGATCATTTTCAGATAATTGGTACAGCAAGTACTCATGGTTTACCGGGAGTGAAATAAAAAACAAAGATCATACATAGAGCCAGATTAAATTAGATTTATTTGGAAAATAAAAGATCAATGTTTCATTAGACAATGCCCAAGGTAAAAATGCTATTAAACATAACGAAATTGTAAAAAATAGTCAAGCAGTTTTACGTCGTTTAATTGATATTGTAATTTTTTTAAGTTGTCAGCAATTATCATTTAAAGGACACGATGAATCGGAGCATTCGTCAAATCAAGGTAATTCTAGAGAATTAATAAAAATGTTTAAGAAGTACGATTTGGAATTTTCTAATTTACTTTCTGATTCGAAGACATTTAGCGGTGTATCTAAAACAATCCAGAATTAATTAATAGAATCAATTAGTTACATTTTGAGTAACGTTATTAAATCTGGGATTCAGAAAACCATTTGCTTTTCACTAGAAGTAGATGAAACTACCGATATATCATGTCATTCACAATTATCAATTGTTGTTCGATACGCGTTACGTGGTAATATTTATGAGAGGTTTTTACAGACGTGAGTAAAAGCTATAAGGCATAATATATTTTTGTTATTTTAAAGTACAGATTAAAATTTTTTTATATCAAAAATAAGTTGGTAGTGAAAACTAATGACGGCGCTGCCGTGATGTCAAGTGAATTGAATGATCTCCTGGCAAAAGTTAAAACTATTGCACCGCAAGCTTTATTTACTCACTGTCGTGCAAATAGAATGAATTTAGTTTTGCAGGATTCATGTGAAAAAATTAAAGAATATCGTCTTTTTTGCCAGTTTATGCGGATTTACTTCATTGTTCTAAGGCTGGCCTAAACGGACTAATGTTTTAAAACGGTTTATTTAAAAAAATACCAACAGTTTGTCAGATGCGATGGAATTTTAAATCTCGGTTAGTTTTCACTGTAGCAGATTTTCGTGAACAGCTTTTGGAAGATTTTGATTTTATTATCAAAACTTCATTAAATTGTTATTATGCAGTATTGAGATATATAGTTCCCTGCGGTATTTTTCTAACTATATTAAATTTTATTTGTCCATTTTAAAATGGCGCAGTCTTTTATTTCATTTACCAATCTCATCCCACTATACTTTAAATCACTTTCTTCATCAATATAAAAAAAAACAAAGTTTTTTTGCTAAAAGTTTTATTTTATTATAAGATTAAGCATATATTTACAAAGTTGGATAACTTGTCATTAAAGCCAAACCGCACAAATTAGCATTCCTCTTCAGTCTGAAATAACCTTGTTCACCCCAGTCTGCACCCCATGAGTTCTTGATAATCCAGTAGGGCGTGTTGTTTTCTTCACCGTAACCTACGACCAGGATTCCGTGATCCAAGTAATCTTTACTATTTACGCACTGTTTGCTATCAAAAATACCACGTGAGTAGAATTGGATAGGTTCAGCGTAAATTGCTGCAGAAATTGGACCAACGGTACCTAAAAAAAGAGGAAGAAATAAATTAACAGTAACAAACATAATTTTTAAATAACATGATTCTTCAATAACATGATTCTTCTTTATCATCATTCAGCTTGCTGCGTTCAAAAATGTACATAGGCTTCAACTTATTTATTCCAGTTTTGTGGGGGTATCGAGCTTCCTGCAGCTAGGTTCCGATAGAGAGTCATCTGTCTCTAAAGCGAAACTTTAGCATATGTTACAACATTGAAGTTTAATAAACTCATAAGGTAATACAAATACATGGCGTTGGGCAGGTCACGTAGCCCGATATAATGATAACAAGTTGACACGGAGAATTCTAGAATAGAAACAAAGGACGACAACAAGAAGCATGAAAAGACCTCAAAAAAGATGGGAAGATGACATAAGAGCAGTGACAGGCAAACAGTGGATTAGATTGAAGCAAAATTAATAAAGATGGAAGTAATTGAAAGAGATCTACATTCAGGAGTGGATGGTTGACAAAGAGACAAAGAGAATACAAACGCAAACTATACTATTTAAAGTACAAGAATAATTTTCACACTTGGTAACAGAAAAAACTATGAGGGAAATAATGTTTAGCCAATGTATTAGAACGTAATGAGCTCTATCTCGTTTAGAGACGTTATATTCATTAATTTTAATATGTTAACAGACAACTTACCAACAGCTTGTCTCAAAGCTTCCTCATTAGCTGCCGGTTCTTTGTAACCTTTGATCTTTAGTTCAGCTTTGCCAGCTTTGCGTCTGCAGTTTCCTTGTTCCCCTTCGTAGGGATAGCTAGACTCAGATTCGATTCCGTGGTCTTCGATGTATTCGAAAGCGCTGGTCATAAGACCACCTTCATCGCAGTCGCCATTTCCGTAGTCTGAGGAACAATCCAAAAGTTCCTGTTCACTGAGACCTACTGATTTGCCATTGATGATATGGTTTTGTCCTTCAAGGGATCCAGTCTAAAATAGATAGAATATAAATTATTTAGATATTGTCATATCACTAAATCAGCAGTCATTTTTATGGCTTTTTAATGACAGTAGAACAAAGATAAACGACAATTACTTTAAGATTAGAAAAAACAACAAATTGCTGTGTCTAAATTTACGCTGCTTAAAACAAACTTTAGAATTAAAATATAAAAGAAATCAAGATATGTTTTAGCTTATCTTTGGTTATAATTGATTGCAGTTTAATTATCAGAAGTACCTACTGTTTCATTAAACAAGCGTATTGTGACTGTAATTGTTAAAAATAATATAAAACAGGTGACAAATCTCATAAACAGATGCGGATTGTCGGGATAGGCGAAGTAGGCACCACTTAACCTCTTCAAATATACAATAATAAATTGTTTAGTATTACAAATTATTTATTTCACGATTGTGATTTGTAAATTTTGACCAAATACGTATTAAAAATAAAAGAACAATTTTTTTAGTTCATTCTCTCTAAAGTAATTATTTTGCAATCTTAGTAGTAGTCGACAGGCGCTTCAAATTTTCGCATTAATAGGGAATAAAACGGCTATCGGTCTATTTGTCTTACCCTTACACAGAAGCAACACGGCTTCACGGCTAGTCCGTGATTTTATCGTTTTTCTTCTTCTTTAAGTTCCATCTTCTATCGAAGGTAGGAAATCATCATGGCTATGCGGACTCTGTTGACTGCCGCTCTAAAAAGTTCTGCACTATCGCATTCAAACCATTCCCTTAAGTTCTTAAGCCATGATATTCTTCGTCTTTCCACATTTCGCTTTCCTCGGATTTTGCCCCGCATAATAAGTTGTAATAATGCGTATTTTTGCCCTCTCATCACATGTCCCAAGTACTCAAGTTTTCGTCTTTTAATAGTTAATATTATTTCTGCCTCATTTCCTATCCTTCTAGTTACTTCCATGTTTGACATTCTTTGAATCCATGATATTCGTAGGATTCTTCTGTAACACCAAAATTCAAAGGCGGCCAACTTATTCAGATGAACTTGTTTTAGTGTCCAAGCTTCCAGACCATAAAGAAGAGTAGAGAACACGTAACATTGAAGCATTCTCAGGCGTAGTTCTAACCTTATATCCCGACAACAAAGAAACTTTTTAAGTTTAATAAATGGTGTACGTGCTAATTTAATACGTGTCTTAATTTCTTTGGTTTGGTCTACATTTGATGTTATCCATGTTCCTAAGTATTTATAGTTATTAACACTCTCAATTGCAGTATCTTCAATAGTCAATTGGATATTTGCATGTGCAGATTTAGTAATGATCATGCATTTAGTTTTATTTAAATTTATCTTCGGTCCGTACTCATGGCAGCGTTCATTAAGGCGTTGCATTAGGTTCTGTAAATCATTGTTGTTATCCGTAATTATTACTGTATCGTCTGCAAAACGTAAGTTATTCAAAACGTAAGTTTATCGTTTTTATAGGAGATGAATTCGGTCGCCTCCAGCCTCCGATTGAAACGCTTTTTCAAAGCATCAAAATTAAGAAAGATTAGAAATCATTGTAATGGACCTTCTATTAAGAAATTTACAAATTTTATTTACAGATAAGAAGGATAATTGGCCATTTTTGAGATCGTTTAAAACAATAAGGAATGATGCAGTAAGTAATAATTGTAGAAATCCACTTTTTTGTTGGCCTTATCTACTGCTTTTAAATGTGAAGCAAAATATTTGGACGAGTAAGGGATATTCAAATTTGAAAAATTTATCAGCTAGTGTCAGAAAAAATTAATCTTCGAAAGAATATTATTTAAACAATTGTTTAGATTTAAAACGGTTAGAAAAAAATACGCAAGTAAGAAGTTCGAAAAAAATTGAATTTTATTTTTATACTTAAATTGGTGTTACGATTATTTTAGCAAAACGATTTTAGCAATTTTTATCTTAAAGAAATTTTTAATTTTGCAGTTAAACGCAATCAGGAAATCCAGGATCATGTTAATAAAACAGAAAGGATGTTCACGGGTTTGTCAATAACCGCTGATAGATTGTCTTGCGGATTAGGTACATAAAAAATGACATTTTAAGAGAAATCATTGAAGCTCAATTTTTTTCTATACTAGCGGATGATAATACTGATACAACTGAAAATTACAGTGTATTTTAACAATCCGTTTAGTTAACAAAATTGGTCAGATAACAGTAAGATTTTTGGGGTTTTTGATATTAGCAAAAATAAAAAAAGTTTTTAAAGAATGAATTTTTTTTAAAACTTACAGCACTGAAAGCCCAGCAAGATCCGCAGTCTCCTTGATCTTTAACTCCCAATACGGCACCTTTTTGCCTCCAGTCAATGGAGTCTGGAACCTCAGCATTTACATCTTGAACATGACGAGTTGTCTTGATTTTAGGGATGTTTTTGGCTTGCATACCGAGCTTGGCTTTGAACTCTTCTGGGGTTATGTCAGCGAACTGGTTGACTGCCATTGTGTATCCTACAAGTCCTTGTTCGTATTTGGCGTTGTGTTCGTTGATGAGTTTCAAATTTGACAGGAAAACTGAGAAGCGTAGTCTTTCCTCGATTGGGTTTTTGTAAACTTTGCCATGTTTAACCTGAAATAAAATATAAATATCGGTATAGTTAACTGCTTTTATTGTTTATGTATAATATTATCAACATAAAATAAATTTTGATGTATCGATATTTATGTGACTTACTTTAAAATTTTCCCAATGGTCGTTGTGTGACAAAGCACTGACGCTCAATATGATAGCTACAAAGGCTACAAATAGTTTCATTTTGATTTTTCTAAAACAAGTTTTAAAAACCGTTAAAAGAAAATAATGTACACATAAGTATAATCAAATTTATCTAATAAAAAATTCTTTGATTTAAAATTGTTAATGTAGTTTTAAAAAACTGTGTAAAAAGTACATCCAAAAGCGTAAGGATGTTCGTATTTCTCAGAAAAAATAAATAATTTAAATAAAGAAATGAATAAAGTTCCAAATTAATTTTCTTAATGGAAAAGCGAAGAGAAATGTCAATAAAACAATAAATTGTAGTATAATTAAAAGATACTATAGATCTATACAACCACATCTTCTTTAAGTTTTCTTCTGTGTCCATACTATTCTAAGCATCCTCCAGTAACACCACATTTCAAAGAACTGTAACTTATTTATGTGTTCTTGCTTCAATGTCCAGCTTTCAAGTTCATATTGCAGTATCGAAAACATTTAGCATCTCAGTGCTCTTACTCTCAGTTCTAATCTAAGATCTTTGTTGCAGAGAATTATTTTCATTTTTACAAACGCATTTTCTGCTATTTCTATCCCAGCTCTTATTTCGGTTGTTTGATCATTGTTGTCTGAAATCCAGATTCCTAGGAATTTGTATTTATCAACCCTTTCTATCGGTACATTTCCAAATGTATGTTTGTTGGTATATTTGTTTTTTTTTGTTATTATCATGTATTTAGTCTTTTTTAATCCATATTTGTCACAGAAACTGTTTGTTTTGTTTAGCAGTAATTGGAGTTTTTCAGCAGAGCTTGTCATAATCACGGTATATTGTACAATACTTAGCAAATACAATAGAACTTGCTATGTGGTGACATATTAGCTAAAATTGTTAGAAAGATAAACTTAGTCATACCATGAAAAGATGGGAGAGAGCAATTAATAGACGGATATTGAAGAAACCACAAAATCTAATAAGTCTGGCTTTATGCAAGGCAGATCAACAGCAGATGCAAGTTTAATTATTAGACAGTGAATGGAAAAAATTCTAAAAATATGAATAAGAAAGAAGTCCTGGTAAATATGTAAAAATTATGTCAAACATATAAGGAAGTAAGAACTGGTGTTAGGACAGGTGTAAAAGAGACTGATAGAGAGAGAAAGAGAGAGAGAGAAGAGAGAGAGAGAGAGAGAGACTGAAGGACTTGTATCTAAAATTAGAATTGTTTGGTGTTTAGTCCTTAATTATTCTCATTAGTTTTAGATAAGATGGCGAAACTACAGGGTACAATTTCTTGGTGCTTTATATATGCTGATGATATGCATATACATTAGTAGGAAATAGTAAAATCGATTAATAATACTGGAACAGTGTAGACAAGCTCATGAGAAAGAAGTAGGAAAAAAACAGAGGAGTATGATTATATTAGTAATCTGAAGGTTCTTGAGAGGATTTACAGAAGAATGTTTTTAACAAAATATGGTTAAGAAAGCTAAGATAAACAAAAGGGTTACCCATATTTCTTTTTTTTTTTGACTACATAGAAATTATTATCATGTAATAATTTCTAATTATATTATAATTCTATATAATTCTAATATAATTTCTAATAATATGTAATATTATGACAATCTGTTGGAAATGGAATAAAGTAAAATCGATCAATTAAACAAATGCTAAATAATACACTAACAGAAATAAGAAATGTAGGAGTCTCTTTCTCTCTCTGTCTCGACAATATGTCTCAAAAAGTCAATTTTGATCAAGGACTAGACAAAAAATGTTTAATTGCACAATTTTAATAGCAAAGAAAATGTATGACTGAGCTAATAATAAAATTTATATAAAAATAAAAATATAATCTCAAACATACTCAATTTGATTTGTACCTTTATCTATATTGAGAGAAACTTATATTACTTACCTTAAGAAAGAACAAAATGATACTTTGAGAAATTTTACTAAAATTGAATTATATATAGTAATCGGAAATGCACTTTAAAATATTCAAGTACTATAGCCAGACTACACTTATATTTTTTTTAAAATGTTATATTGGGATTTACAACTCAAATCTGGTGCAAAATCATCGAGATAAAATCTTGTAGGTATTTTGTTATCTCATTTTTTTCTGAACGAATACAATTGGTGTCAGTTTTTTCAGATCGAATTACTAGAAAACTTAGTAAACTCTGTTCGAATATTAGATATAACAGCTCTTCTCTATTTTTTTTACTATTTTTTCTACTTATTTCTGATTTTACTCTTTCGATTTTACACAGGAGAAGTGGCGCTTTCCGCCACTTCTCCTGTTTATACTTTTTTTTGCATGCCTGTGTGTGAGCTTACTATAAACCTTTCCCATCCAATGTGCTATTTGTGCTTTTACCTTTTATATTATGCTTGGTTGGTTGTAAAATTTTAATACTTCCTTATTTGTTTTTCTGTTCTATGCGTCATCGTTGTTCTTTGCTTTTTCATATATCTTGCGTAATATCTCTCCTTCCCATAATTTCACTAAAATATAAAAGGTAGGAATACTACCAGTAGAGTAGCTCAAACTGGAGTTCGTACCATTGTCTAAAAAGACCAGGAGCAAAAGTTTGTGTAGACTATAGGACCATAAGCCTAATGAGATATTTGCTAAATCTGTTTTTAAAAGTCATCCACAAAAAAATTTACCGGAAATGCGAGAATCAAATAGCGCCCATTCAGTTCAGGTATTGTTTCAGAAATGTAAAGTTAGCTGTGATGTTTTCGCATGCTTGATTGATTACAAGGACGCTTTCGATAGAGTCAGGCATGAACAAATAATGAAAGTGCTAAAGAGGACAGGGATTGATGGAAGATACCTAAAAATAATAGCTAACCTGTATTGGAATCAATCAGCGGTACTCCGAATAGACGGAGAATATACAGATCAGGTAAAAATCGTAAGGATAAAATTCTTGGGCAGGACATTTGAAGAAAATCTAAGCTGGAAACTTCATATAACAAATTTGATCTTATCTTGTCACAAGCGATTAAATCTTCTTAAAACTCTGGCCAATAAAGAATGGGGTGCGGATCGCCAAACACTTTTAATGTTATACAGAACATTAATCAGATCAAAATTAGATTATGGATCTACTGTGTATTCTACAGCCACTAAGACACTGCTAAAAAAACTTGACAGTCTTCACAACCTATCTTTACGTATAATACCTGGAGCTTTTCGCACAACACCAATCGAAAGTATTTATTGTGAAGTTGGTGAACCGTCCTTAGAAGATAGAAGACTTTATTTAAGTGTAGCATATGCCGCAAAAATCAGGTCTAACCCAAAAAACCTTACCATTAACAATTGTTTTACAGAAAAGTTTCCAAATCTCTTCATAAATAAGTCAAGAACCTTCCAAACCTTTCTACGCAAGGATTAGAAGCTATTTAAATCAATTAAACTACACGTTCCCAGAATGCTTTTTTTCCCAATTGTCCTCAATTCCTCCATGGCAAATAAAGAATCCTCAGTGCCTAACCCGCCTCATTTCTTTCGACAAACATTCAACAAACCCACAGTTATTCAAATCCGCCTTCAACGATATGCTTCACAACTACAAGGACTATACACATATATACACAGATGCATCTAAATCAAATGAAGGTACTGGTGCTGCAATCATAACCCCAACATCGACAAATAAATATAAACTCCCTTCAGAGTACTCCATTTACTCTGCTGAACTGTATGCTCTATACCAGGCTACCTTTGCTGTCAATGCATCCAATAACACCAATTATATCATACTCACAGACTCTCTAAGTTCAGTCCAGCCAATCCAATATGTCTACCCAACTAATCCTTTAGTCATTAAGATAAAAGAAGAAATCCACACCGCTCAACTGAATGAAAAAAATATTATATTATTTTGGATATCATCCCATATTGGAATTCCAGGAAATGAAGAGGCAGACAACGCTGCAAAAGAAGCTGCAAGTAGTGATAGTGCGGAATGTACTAAGACATTTACGAGTGCGGACGTGAAAGCAACGGTTAAATTTAAAGTGCGATATATGTGGAATGAAAAGTGGAAAGTGTCATCGGCAAAGCTACGGATGTAAAAAAATCGATTAAACCCTGGCCCACATTACCAACAAATCGAAGAGACCAGGTAATATTAACGCGACTTCGACTGGGTCATACGCGACTAACGAATAGCTACGTGTTCTCTAACAAACAAGAACCAAGATGTGACAACTATGATGAAAAAATAACAGTCAAACATATATTGGAAAAATGTCCAGCATTAACGCCAAAGCGCATATTGTACAGTATACCCAACAAACTAAGTGACATTTTAGGTTTACAGTGCAATATTTCAAACATAAAAAGTTTCTTAACCTCACTTAATATTTTAAATTCTATATAAACTAATATTATAAATGTAATAAAAATTATTGTTCGCTAATAGCCAGTTTGGCTGATGTGATTTTGTTAATAAAAAAAAAAAATCGTAAGGGGAGTAAGACAGGCGTGCATAATCTCACCACTGCTCATAGGTATTTATTATTTAATATGTTCTGTATGTTTACCTGGCTTAGGTATTACAATACTTTGTGCCATTTCTCATGGAATGTGATAGTAGCCCGTTTTTTGGAGAGCTCATTAAGAATTTTAATGGTAATCAGGTCGTATCTAAAAAACTTTTAAGGGTTGAACCCTTAAAGTCTGATTGAATCTTCTGGTGAACTGGCTTGAAACTGAATTTTTCCACAGGTGTTTGAAGTTAATATAGAGATTCTAAAAACTTTTGGATTTTGTTTGTTATGTCAAGGTTGTTGTTGTCCAAAGGGTTTGGATGGAACGCATTTACCAAATCATTGGCAAATACTTCGGCTTTTGCTAATAGGCCATCTTCCATTACATATTTGAATGTCAGGGTTAGTTGGAGTTGGAATGTCAACCTAATAACAAATAAGTTAAAAAGCTACACAACTGTAATTAAAAAAAATAATGGCTATCCTAATAATAATCTGATAGTTAAAATACAAACAAAATATTAAATATAGAATAAACACGTAAATTATTGTTTAATAAACTTTAGAAACTACGACCTATTTAAACAAACGTTAGTTCATAAAATCTAAGTGTCAACAGTTAGTAGGTATATACTTAAAATATTTTTGAATATATTCATTAAAATCATTCAGATATAATCTTGTATGCACTTAGTTATCTCATTTTACTTTTGCATGGATTTCTGTCAGATAAATTAGATATTCCAGTTGGATGGAATTCCATTTTGTTTTAGTTCAGTCTTTTTCTAATATTCTTTGTCTATGTTCACTTTATCATTATTCTGACTTTAAAACCTTGCGTAAGTCCTAGTCTCTAGTAGAATAGTCCTAGTAAATTTACTGTTTGTATTTTGAGAACGTTTTCCGAAGTGGAAATTGAAACGTCAATAAATGTATTTTTATCTTTAATTGTGGCTTATTCCCAGTTAAATAGTAATTCATATAGAGTTGACAATAAGTTATTAAATCTGCCAATTGTTATTTGAATAGCAACATTTTATTTTACATATATTTGCTACAAATATTTGCTATTTTTCGCTACTTTTATTTACAGTCAATGTATTGCATTATTTTTCTTCGTTATTATTTATCAAATATCATTAACTAGCCACCTCTTAAGTTTAATCCCAACAAGTAGGTTTTAAGAGGCCCCATGAAAGCAAGGTAGAGCTACTGCAAGGAGATTATTTATTTCCGATGATTTGTTTCTGGTTATTGTTTTAACTGCATCTTTTACTTCAATAATCGTTGGTGGTTCCTATTTCCTCTCGTCTGTTTCCCTTACCTTATCTCATTTATTTTCAAGGTTTTCTTCGTCTTTCTACATATTAAGTGCCTGGTTATAGTATTTTACCAATCTATTCGATAAATCATTCCTTATTGTTAATAGGTCCAATTTTTTTCTGTTTTTATAGAATGCTCCGAATTTTATCTCTCTATTTAGGTTTTTCATATATTTAAGTTTTTTTTATCCTCTTTTCTTCTCTTCTCTTTGTCTGGTAATTCTCTATAGTTATTCTAATTCGTTGGGTAAGCATGATTTTTTTGGCTTCATTTTTTTCTTTTGTTGCATTTTTACATTCATCGTCAAACCAATAACGTGTTGACTTCTGAGAATCCCTATTTGTACACTTAAGACATAATAGTCATTTTAGCACTTTTCTCAGCATCTTCAACTGTATGCTTCCATCTTAAACAAACCAACCTTAACCGAATATGTTGAAACACACTTTGGTCTTTAATATTAAAAAACAACAATATGATCTAAACTAAAACTTTAATTTTATTATCTAGCTTAAGGTATCTTTACAAAACGGGATAACTTGTCATCAACGCCAAACCGCACAAGTGAGCATTTCTTTCCAGTCTGAAGTAACCTTGTTCGCCCCAGTCTTGACCCCATGAGTTCTTGATAATCCAGTATGGCTTGCCGTTTTCTTCGCCGTAACCTACAGCTAGGATTCCGTGATCCAAGAAAGTTCTACTATTTGCGCACTCGCCGTCAAAAATGCCACTTGAGTAGAATTGGATTGGACCTCCGTCAATAGCTGCTGAAATCGGACCAACAGTACCTAAGAAATAAAGAAAAAGGTAAAGAAAGTAAATAAAAAAAATTTAGAAACGTTTTTGCATATATTCATCAAAACGTATTTTTCTAATGTAACATTTTTTGGTTTTTATTAACATTTAATAATATGTTTATTAAGTAATTAATTCATATATTATTCTTATAAATAAACCCTTGGACAAAATTAACGCACCACCCATATTTTTCTCATTATTCTTTATTTATTGATAATTTAGTGTACGACAAGTTGCCTATGGACGTTGTTTGACAGTGACCGTTTTTTGAGACAAAGTGCACTCAGAGATAGGGGAGTCACCAGCAATTGGCCAAAAAATGAACTAGTAAATGTTCGAAATGTCGCGATCTCATCTCGAACAGTTAGAAAACGTTTACATGAAGCAGAATTGAGCAACAGGAAACCAACCAAAGAAACCCTTGCTTACCAGAGAACATAGAATTCAGAGATTGAATTTTGCAAGATTGCATCAAAATTGGACCATCGATGATTGGAAACGAGTTCTTTTCTCCGATGAGACTAGAGTAAGCTTAAAAGCTCCAGATGGTCGTGGACGTGCTGGCGAAAGCGAGGAGAAAGGTTTACCAGCTGCAATATCTATCCTAAAGTACCTTTTGGTGATGACTCTAAAATGTTTTTGGGGGAATTTGTTTTGAAGCTCGTACGAGGTTCCCATGTTGGGGAACTACGAGGTTGAGTTGGTCCCCATAAGTACGAGGTCTATGAATGCCCATTATTACTTAGACAACATTATTGTCGAACATGTACTGCCTTTTGCTCTGTTTTTTGGCATTTGCTTTGCTCTTCGTTCATAAGAAACGTAGCAAAGCAAAAGCAAAGGTGGATAGCGAAAACTCCAGACTTATAAGTTAATATTAGACAATCTAAACAGAATTGAAGAGCGACTATGTAAGGGAAGCTGCACCATGATCGATAAAATATGCCTAGAATGATGATAATGATGATGTGAATTAACAGTATGTGTAAAATAAGAAAGACGAAAACAAAGACATATACATACAGGAAAGCTATAACAATAATCAACAATGCGAACGAGTTTTAGCATGTTTTAAAATATTATGTTGATTAAGTTTTATACAGCAGCTACAGTCAACTTACCAACAGCTTGCCTTAAAGCTTCTTCATTATCATCTACTTCTTTGTATCCGTGAATGTTAACTACAATTTTGTCGATGCTGCGTCTGCAAGCTCCTTGTTCGGCTTCGTATGGATAGCTTGACTCAGATTCGATACCGTAGTCCCGGATGTATTTGAAAGCGCTTGTCATAAGACCTCCTATATCACAGTTACCATTTCCGTATTCTGAGGAACAATCCATAAGTTGCTGCTCACTTAGTGGTACTGATTTACCATTGATGATATAGTTTTGTCCTTCAAGGGAACCAGTCTAAAATGGGTAGAATTAAATTGTTTGGATATTTTATCATAACTATATTGGCAACAATCTTTTTGGCATTTTAGTGACAATGCGAGAAGATAAACGAAATATTCTTAAAGATTAGAGAAACAAAGCTGTATCAATGTATTGAATAAGAAAAGAAATATACAAAATAATATATTTTTGAAAAAAATCTCAAGGTTATCTTTAGTTGTAATTAATTCCAGTTTAACAGCAACAGCAATAATTTTCGTATAGGTAAATAAGTAAATTTTGATTCTCGTTGTCCAAAATCATATAAAACATATGACAAATCGACTTTTTCTCTAATTTTTTGACTACACAATGTAACAGAATAACAATTTATCATCATCATCTAGCCCTTTGTGTCCACTGCTGGACATAGACCTCCAGTCTTATTTGCAGCATTTTAGACGTAGCTGTCAATGTCAAAGTTTCAGCCAAATAGGTCATTACAGGCAACACACATTGGTCAAATGTGTGTTGCCTGTAATGACCTATGACCGGACGTGGTCAGACGAACAGACCCAAACCGATGGATACCAAAAATAACAGAGTGAAGCCCCATACGAAAACGCAAAAGAGGAAGACCAAGAAGATCTTTCAGAGATGAGGTAGATGAAGCCATGGAAAGAAGAGGATTGGAAGACGGAGAATGGGAGGACAAAAAAGAATGGAGAAAATGGTTGAGAGAAGGGAGACAGCGACAGCTGTAGGAACGGCTTTCATATATAGCTGTCAATGTCAAAGTTTCGGCACCATAGGTCATCACAGGTTAAGATTTCCGTAGGTTGCCCATGCTAAGTTCAGTCTTCTTTGAAGTTTACTTATTTGGTTATCTCTTGTGATCTTCATTTCGTGTCCAAGGTATATGTATTTTTTTCACCAGCTCTTTTTCGTTGTCTCTAATATTGATATTTCCGCTAGGTACTAGGTTTGTGATGAATTTTATTTTGGAGATTCTTATTTTAAGACCCACACTGGCACGCTAAAGTTAATGTAGCATTGTACATATCTTCTTGAGGTTGTCCGATAACTAAATGCAAATTTTAAATTTATTAATCTTCTATCGTCAATGTTCAGGCCTTTCTCTTCCCAATTAAGTTTTTTACAAGCATATTCTAGTACTGCGGTAAACAGTTTAGGCGATAAGGTATCACCTTGTTGGACTCCTCTGCCGATTTGGATATGATCCATGTTTTTATGTAGTTTCACCGATATAGTTGGGTTCTTATGATTGCGTTCTAATAACAATTAAAATAAGTTTGATTGATTTTAAAATTAAAAGTAGATATTAATAGATTTATAGAATAAAATTAATGAAAAATTAATATTTCAAAAGCAAAAACCTACAGCACTGAAAGCCCAGCAGGATCCACAGTCGCCTTGATCTTTAACTCCCAAAACAGCACCTTTTTGTCTCCAATCAATAGAGTCTGGAACCTCAGCATTTAAATCTTGAACATGACGAGTTTTGTTGATGTTAGGGATGTTTTTTGCTTGCATACCAAGCTTGGCTTTGAACTCTTCTGGAGTTATGTCAGCAAACTGGTTTACTGCCATTGTATAGCCCACAAATCCTTGTTCGTATTTGGAGTTATGTTCGTTAATGAGTTTTAAATTTGACTGGAAAACTGAGAAGCGCAGTCTTTCCTCGATTGGGTTTTTGTAAGCTTTGCCATGTTTGACCTGAAATTAATAATAATAGTATACTTAACTGCTTTTAATACTTATGCATAGTAAATAACGCGTATGTACATAAAATAAATTTTTATATGTTGATATTGATTTGACTTACTTTAAAGTTTTCCCAATGGTCGTTGAGTGACAAAGCACTAGCACTTAATATGATAGCTGCCAAGACGATAAATAGTTTCATTTTGATTTTTCTAAAACAAAAGATTATTTTCTAAAAAGTAATAAAATAAAAAGTACTAGAAAAATGTAAAAATATCTCTTTGATTTAAAATTATTACCAATGGAGCGTTAGGAAACTGTTAAAACAAACAACGAAAAGTATAGAGTATATCAGAAATGTGAGGCGAAAGTAATTAACACAGCTCTTAATTTAAAAACATATGAGCATACTAATAAACAAACTAAAAACCAAAATGGTGGCATCAACACCCAATAACAAAACAAGTAAACAAGTAAAAAGTAGCAAATTCATTGTTAATAACTCTATCTTAAAAGTGGTGGACACATTACCATACTTAGGCTCCCTGATGTTCCATGACAGCTTCATAACGACAGAAATCAAACAAACAATAATTGTGGCGAACAAGTGCTATTTTGGGTTACGTGAACATGTAAAAAGAAGAAACTTAAACCAGAAAACAAAAATAACAATACACAAAATCCTTCTACTGCCAGTATTGACTTATGGTTTAGAAACATGGATCATCTTTAAGACAGATGATCCTTGCTTGACAGATATTTCAACGAAGAATCCTGAAAGGAACATTTGGTGGCATTTGTGAAAACGGTATTTGTATTGACTTATGGATTCTAAAAATAAACCATTACCAAGATGGATGATACTTGCTGATAATTGAATAAAGAATCATGAAAGAAACATTCGGTGGCATTTGTATAAACGGTATTTGAAGGAGGAGGTACAACTATAAGGTATATCACAAACACAAACAGATATCTGGCGGTAAAGATATAATATATCTTTCATAAAAGTAGTAATACTAAAATTGACAGGATATCTAAAAAGATCACAACAGAATTACCTTCCAAGGTGAAGTAGACGAAGAGTGATGTAAATGGAAGGATAGTGTAGGTGATATTGCTAGAAAAATAGGTGAGCAAACTAGCAGTGGTTGGCAATGAATATAGTTGACAAGCGAAATATATTTTTTCAAGAAGGTCAAGCCTTTTATATAAAGCTATAGCACAAATGATAAAGATTAAGGCGATTCTTAAAAAGATGGAGTGAAATTTGATACCAGAATCGACAACAATTTGCTAATATTTGGTACGAAGAAGAACATGAAGATAAAAGTATAACTAAATAATGTTTTTACAAAACTAAAAAACACATTGTTTTTGTTATTAAATAAAATGCATGATAAATTAAAAAAAAAAAAAAAATAAAAACAAAAACATACGCTCCAAAGATATAAAACTGTTTCTGTTATGCCTAAAAAAGGCATATTGTATTCTAGATGATATGACTTACTTTGAAGAAAAACAAAATAATACTCTGAGAAACTTCATTAAATTCGAACTATTTATAGTTTAGTAATCGGGAATGACTTTAAAATATTCAAGTAGCACAACCAGGCAACACTTGATGAATTTTTTTTGAAACTATTTATTTTTTTGGGATCTGTAACTAAAATATCTTGCAAAGTCATCGGGATAAAGCATTTCTTTATCTGATTTTTTTCTATATGGATTGGTATCAATTTTATTAAATCGACGTATTAAAAAACTTTATTAGACTTTATTTAATTCACAGATGCTCTATTATAGTACGTTATAATATAGAGTAGATTTATAGTACTTTTTTGTAAATATTTTTCTCTAATTTCTTTCTTTGTCTTCTTCTTCTTTAAACTACATAGACACACGAGAGTGTCATATTTTGTGTTTTGTTTGTACCTACTTTATTTTGGTATTTTTTTTTTGTTTCTAGATATCCTTTTTATTTCTCTGCAGTTTATTTCTTTACTTTTATCTGCTTTTATAATTTTATTTATTTAGATTTCTCCTGGTCATCCATCCCCTGTTTTGTTTTTACTCATTGCTTGTAATATTCTTCTTGAACATCTTTTGTTTAAAATCATCTGTACGTGTCCAAATTATTCCAATTTTTTTCTGTTTATTTAAATTATTATCGATACTTGGTCTATTTTTGTTCTTATTTAATCATTTGTGCTCTTCTGTGTGTTATTTTCCTTAATACTTTCATTTTAAAAGCATTTGATTTATACCTTCATATTATTTTTGTAACACCCAGTTTTCACTTCTATATATAACTCCATTGGTATGTTATTCGTATTATGTACTAGTAATTTAGTTTTGTTATATATTATCTTTTTTTCGTATAATATTTTATTTTGCATATAGTAAAATCTGTTGAATTTATTTTGTTAATCAGCTATATATAAATCAAATTTTCTATCATTAATAAAAAAATACTTCCTAGGTATTCAAATGTTGAACCTCCTATAGGTTCTCACATAGGTTCTCACCTTTGTATGTTATTTCTTTTCTTGATATTTACTGTCATCCTTATCTTTTTCCTCTCCTTATGTTTACTAATACCTGCATTTTGTTGTGATTCTTCGCTATATGAACTATATCGTCTGCCTAGAACAGTTTTTCAATGTATGTAGTATGTACAATAAGTCGATAGTACGTAATTATTGTTTGAAAAATCCTAGATCTGGATCTTGATCCATATAAATTAAAGAAAATTCTAATTAATAGAGATTTTACGTTAAACCTTAAAATCAGATTAATACGCTGCTACAAATTCTCCACATTGCTGTATGGTATGGAGAGCTGGACCCTTACAGAGACATTAATGAAGAAATTGGAGGCCTTTGATATGTGGATTTATCGACGAGTATTGCAGATAAGTTAGGTTGATCGAATAAGAAATGAAATGATTTTTCGTCGAATGAAAAATAGTACAGAAATACCAAAAACAATAAAAATACAAAAGTTATAATATTTCGGTCATGTAATGAGGCATCCAAAGAGGTATAACCTTTTATACCTCATAATACAGGGTAAGATCGCCGAAAGGAGAGGCCCAGGCAGAAAAATAACATGTTGACTCCGAAATCTCCGAGAATGGTATCAAGAGACCAATGCTAATTTATTTAGAGCTGCCTTAAACGAAGTTATTATTGCCAATATGATCGCCAACGTTTGATAATAGAACAGGGTACTAAAAGAAGAAGAAGAAAAATATCTAGTGATAATGTTGCTATATTGGACTGGTACAGATTTTTACTAAGTGTCAGCAGACTTTTTTAATAAAAAAGTAATAAATAAAGTAGTTTTTTATTTATTACTTTTTTACTTAAATACTACTTATTTTATTTAAATAAGTTTTTAATACATAAAGTATGAAATTACGTATTATAACATAGTTTTTAACTTGAAACTGCTTTTTATAATAACAATTGTGAAATATAAAGATATAATACTACTATAATGGGAATAGGTAATAACATACGTAGTAGAAACAAGAGTTAAAACGTTGCTTACAAGAAATTAAAGAAAACTTCTAAAATCAAACTATTAAGAATTGAAAAAGGAATTCCTCTCAGGGAGATAGAATCTGGAATGTTATAAAAGAAACTGGAGAGATCGTAGAAAAATGTAGTACACTAAAAATGCATTAGAATAACAATTGCAAAATGCTTAACAGAACAAAATAAAAATCTCAAACATTTTACTTGTAATAAACTCGAGATACTGGTAATAAAAGGGACAGGCCTGTATCTTTTGCACGATATACCATAGCAATTAATACTTCCATGAAGAAAAAGGCCACTCAAGAAAAAACTATTGGATAGGAAACCCCTTGAAAAGGTGGGCAGTTGAACCAAAAGATGTCATACGAATCCGTGAAGAAGAAGACGACTGTATCAATCTTCAATAACTAAGAACATTGGAAGCTATTAAAAGTCATAGAGTATAATCAATGAACAGGTCATAACTCACGGAGTGTTTGAGAACTACAGAAAAAAAAAACAGATAAAAAAATTTATGGTAGTATATTATTTATTTTCTTAAATACAATATTTCTGTTAAACAAGCAAAATAATAATAAACTTTTAGAGTACCATTCAATAAGATAAGGAAGTTTTTATCGTACATTATCTTTGATTAATTTTTTAGTGTCTGATTTTTAAGTCAGAAACACTTCATCTTATAACTACGCAAAATATCAATATTTTACACGACCCCATTGATAAATTATCTAGATGTTTTAAGAGCATTAATATTATCTATATATAGATTGAATGATGACTAGCCTATTTCTAATATTGTTCTGAAGTTATTTTCTTGTGGCATTGTAAATTAATTACTATTTATAACTGGGAATAAACCACAATTAAAGATAAAAATACGTTTATTGACGTTTCAATTTCCAATTCGGAAATCGTTCTCAAAATACAAACAGTAAATTAAACAAATTTTGTTTTTTGTTACATAGTGAAAAAATTCTTCTAATAATTTAATTTTATCTGACTCATTTATATTGACAATTCAGACATACATTATGCATTTAAAGTAGACGACTTTAAAATGATATTGCAAATATTGTTGAGTTGCTCTCCTGGAACGAGTTTACTTATAAGATAGTTCATTCGATTACATGAAATCAACTTTAACTTGAGAATATCCGTCAGAAAAAATCATAGCATGTAATTCGTCTTTAAAAAGACAAACACATGACATGATGCCAGTAAAATTCTCCTGTTAGTGATTCCATAGTAAAAAATGAGGGAAAAACCAGGAAAAAAACCTCATAATACTATCCCGACATTGTAAGTATTTGTTCGTGAATTTAGTTTACCTTCAACAAACATCAAAATTCCGATTTTATATGTTACGTTATTTAAAAAACATAAATGATGTATCCTCTATATGTTACTGACTTACTAATACTGGTATTTTCTTATTAATAACTTCCTCTTTCAATATTGGTAACCAGATCCTACTACATTCTGCCGAGGAATCTGCGACACAATTGGCCTTATTCAGCATAATTAGAGCCGCTTCTTTGATTTTTCTTTTTTTAACATCCGTTTCTTTTAGGACTATATTTGAATTATTCCATTTAACCCTATGTTCATTATCCCATGCGTGTTTACATATTTGAGATCTATTAAATCCTCTATTTTTAATATAAGATTGATGTTCACTTATTCTAACATTTAATGGCCTTGATGATTCACCTAAATAAAACTGATCGCATTCGCAAGGTATTTTATAAATGCAATTCTTTGTCCTTTCTTGTTCATTGTTAGGTTTGGTTTTGGACAAAATAGATCTCAACGTGTTTGTTGTTTTGAATGTTGTTGAAATGTTGAATTTATTTCCTATCCTTTTAAGTTTTTCTGATAATCCTTTTATGTACGGCATTGTTATTTTCCTCATATTATTCCTTGTGTCTGCTGTAGGATCTCGTTCTAAGTTGTTCTGTTCTATTCGATCGATTGTTGAAAATTCGTTATTTATAAACGATAAAGGATTATCATTTTTTAATAAAACAGATGTTAACAAATGTTTCTCCTCCAAGAACGAATTTTCGTTAGAACAAGTAATTTTGGCTCTATCGTATAAGGATATAATTATTCCCTTTTTTACATTAATATAGTGATTTGATCTGAAATTTAAATATCTATTGGTGTGTGTTGGTTTTCTATACACCTGAGTCTCATATCCAGTGTCGTTCTTAGAGATTAAAATATCTAGGAAAGGTAGCGTGTTATTATATTCCTTTTCCATGGTTAATGTTATTGTCTCTTCTTTATCGTTTATATCGTTTAGGAATGTGTCCAACAACTCTGATCTATGAGGCCATATTGAGAATACATCATCTACATACCTCCACCATACTGTGGGTTTGAAATTTTGTTTAAAAGTGATATTTGTTTCAAAATCTTTCATAAATATATCGGCTAAGAATGGAGATAAACTAGAGCCCATTGCTAGACCAAAATTTTGTTTATAGAATTCATTATTTAGTTGAAAATATGTATTATCAGTACATAATGTTAATAACTCCATTATAGCCGATATGTTTAATCTTGTTCTAGTTGCCAATGAATCATCACTCTCTAATTTTGTCTTAACTATACTTAAAGTCTTATTTAATGGCACATTCGTAAATAAACTATTTATGTCAAAACTTACCAAAGTATTATTTGAATTAAATTCAATATTTGATAATTTATTTAAAAAATGTTGTGTATTTTTTATGAATGTGTCATTTTTATTTGTAAAAGGTTTTAAAATATTTAATAAAAATTTTGATAGTTCACTACAATGAGAATTCATGGTACTAGAAATGGGTCTAAGTGGTATATTCGTTTTATGAATTTTCGGTATTCCATAAAAATGAGTCTTACTGTAATGAGGTGTAATTAATCCTCTCTGATAACTTGTTAAAACATCTTTAACTTGAATAAAGTTCTATATATTTTGTTTTCCAAAGGCTTTGTTGGATCTTTTGTTAATTTTGTATAAGGTCTGTTTATTAATAGATCTTTAATTTTATTTTCGTATTGAATTTTATCCATTATCACAGTTGCATTCCCTTTGTCTGCTGGTAGGATGATTATGGAGTCGTCATTTTTTAAAGTTCTTATAGCCTTTAGTTTTTTCCAATTCAAGTTTACATAACACTCTGTATTCTTCCTTTTCGTGGGTTGGTAAGCATTGAGATATTTTCTCCACTGAGCTTATTATGTCTAATTTTGGAACGGATGGCTGAGTAATAGCAAATAATAATAATAGCCTTTTTCTGGTTATATTTAGTAAATAATTTAGTTTAATCCCAATTAGAAAGATAATCCATTTAGTAATAATAATTGCTAAATATTACAACAAAATTCAGATTTTTTGAGAGATTTTAAAACGTAGTCCATTTATGATTTTATGTCTACTAATATTCATCGATTTGTATAGATTTTGTAATTTATAATATTATTAACCACTTCCACAACATTCTCTCATAGTATAAAAACTTACTTAACAAGAGCTTTAGAAAACAAAGATTATTTTTCTACAAAACATTTATGAACAATTTATAATATTTTTAACCAAGTTCATAGATTCTTTTGTTAATTAATTATTCTTTAAAAATGTGGACTTTTATCACATTTTTTAAACGAAGCTATTAGGATGGTTAACTAGAAGCAGTTCTTCTTTGTTTGTATTTTGGGAATGTTTTTCTTTGGAGTATCATATTATTTTAAAAAGTTGTCTATTGTAATATCCTTGTATTTAATGGTGTTCTGAAACAAACTGTTTTCTTAAACGATTTTCTAAAATTCAACCAAAATGTATTGAGTTTTTTGAGTAGAACTCTTATTTTCTTTATATGATTAAAACAGTTTTGTTGGGAAAATAAACATATTAAAAGCATATATAATTTAGAATGGAGTGAAAAGAGACAAAAATAATTATCCATTGCCAATTATTCACAATATTCACATTAATAAAGTTGATTTGAATATAAATTTTGAAAAGACGCAATACATGACAAATCTGTTACCAAAATCCAAAGTCAAGTGCAACAAAATTGGATTAGTTTATAAATTTAAATACCTAGATTATAAACT